TTTTATCTGCTCCTCAATGGGATAACCTTACATTATTCTTAGTTGTATTGCAGTTAACATTTTCTCCTGTAAACCAACTATTATATTGGTGAAACCATAACAAATAGTTATGAAGGTTACTTATCATAAATTTACTTACCCATGTCTAACTATCATCATTTCATAAGTCTGTATCATCTTTTCTAGAAAAACTTTAACAGGCTGGACATTATGCTCTTTACAACATTCATTTGCACATTCCAGAAAATCCTGAAATACAGTTTAAAAAAATTAATTCTATATTTTTATTCCTTGAATATAATTGAATAATAAAATTCAAAATATAACATTGCTCGGTATCAGGAATATATTAAGAATGGCCCTGGAAAGAAAATTAACACTGAGGTAAGTCACATTTATTTATTTAATCAATTTATTATATTTATTTATTCAATTTGTAATGGCCTCTCATCCTACTTATTACAACTCCAGAAGGTAGCTAATGTTGAATTAAAAATAAAGAATAACCAAAAGCGAAACCCAAAATAGAAATAAAACACAATGTATCTGAGAAGGAACACAGTTAGTCATCTAATCCTTAAAAAAATGGCTCAGCTAATACCATTGTCAATTGGCCAGGACAAGAAACAATTTTTCAAAATCTTATAGGAGGCCACAGGGTCAGAGCCCTCTGAATCTCTGATAGGGTAGGCACCATGACAGAAACAGGCTTTCTATGTCACATCAGATGGCTTGTTTCAGATAGAAGGCCCAAAGTAATTCTAATCTGTTGGGTCTTGTGGAATGGGCAGAAATGTTCAGAGATAGGCAGTCCTGAAAACAGTCTGTCTTTGTGCCATGAAGAGTTTTACAAATGTAATCAGCATCATGAATTGCATCCAATAGTGTATTTGAAGCCAGTGCAGCTTGTGAAGTATTGCTACAAACTGAGTGTGCCATGGTGTACCTATAACTACCCACACCATTGACTTCAGTGTCATCTTCAAAAGGAGCCACATGTAGAGTATATTCCAATCATCTAATCAGGAACTGATCAAAGCATGAGTGACTGTGAACATACTGCACAATCCTTTATAATGTACTGAATAATCCTAAATATATTAAACAAGAGTTTAATTGTGTTCAACTGCAATCCTTTGTAGTTGACTTTTGAGTGGACATGCATAGAATTATACTATCGGCCAGCTATTCTGGTTGTTTGCTAATGGAGTTGGACTTTTTAAATTATGAAGATACTGAAAAACATATTTATCAAGAAAGCTGGGTTAGATTATCAAAAGTCTAGAAAGACCATTCTAGAAGCAAAGACATAAATGTCAAAATTAAGCCACATTTTGAAAGAATGAAATGTGTTTCATTAATTATTAAAAGTTAAAGAACTTCTACAAGTACATTGAATTTGAATGATTTTTTGTTTCACAGAAATGGTCTAAACTTTCTTACCATAATTACAACTCAAAACTTTGTCTTCATTCTGCATATATAGCAAATAATTATTAATTAGGGAAAATAAAAATATTACTGGCAAACAAAATTCTACAAATATACTCACACTGTAGTCAGCTTCAGGAAGCTTAATGCCAGGAAATAAATCACTTGTAATTCCCATAAATAGAGGTATGTCATGAGACAAAAATTTAGGCTCATTTACATCTTTGATTGATCGAAGAAGCTGACAAAACAAAACAAAAAGCAACTTAATTAAACAAAATTAATTTATGGTTAATTGCAAAACTGTCCACTTAACCTGAATGCATTAATTTCAAATTTGTACACTGCAAGACAGTTCTTACCAGTATATCTTCATTCTCTATCGGAAATTTTAGTTTTAAGTTACCAGCAGCTATTAGTACTGCTTTGACTGCACGCATTCCATAGTCATAATGAAACTGAGATGAAAGTTGTTCTGAGCACAATCTATAGGTCATCACTATCTTCACAGACAATGGTTTAGCATTCAGAAATCCATAAGAATACAGAGAGATTTCAGCAATGAGGGCATAATTAGGAACCATCATGGCAACTGTTCGGAAAAGAACCTAAAAGAATAGAATAAAAATGTACTGTATGTATTGCTATTGTCTCTGAAAACTAGTATCACAAAATTACTGTAGCTTGTATGAGCAATATCTATAATCTTTCACAATAAAAAGCCATTTAGTAAAATTGCTCTGCAGTAAGGTTTATTTTAGATACTGTGTGTGTGACCAGTAAGTATTCTTTTATTAAAACAATAGTTCTCACTTCAGATTGAATCATTTCAAAAGCCTATAGAGCAATGCTTTCAAGCTTGGTCCTAGAAAGAAAATTTATATTACTGTATTTCCCTGAAAGTAAGCCCTCCCCCGAAAGTAAGCCCCAGCTGATTTTCAGGGGGTGGGCCTAATATAAGCCCTCCCCCCGAAAGTAAGCCCTACTTAAGAGCCCGTGCAGACCTCTGCGACAAGGCAAAGCAGGTGGGGGAGGGGTGATCTGACCAATGGTACGCTGGTTGCTTACCGCTGCCCGGCTTGTTCTGCGGCTGATTTCAGCCAGCTGCAGGCATTTGCTGCCTCACACGTTGCGCCCATTGCCACTGCCATGAGGCTTGGTGGATCCCCCTGTCTGACCCATGTGCCGGTATACTGGTTCTTTACCACCACCTGGCTTGTTCCACAGCCTCATGGCAGTGGCATTGGGCATGACGCACGAACCAGCAAACGGCCGTTTGCCATTGGTCGTGGCCATTTGCTGCCGGCCATGGCCATTTGTCGCCAGCCACAGCCATTTGCCACCTCATGTGTCGTGCCCAATGCCACTGCCATGAGGCTTGGTCCCATCTGACCCATGTGCCGGTATACCAGTTCCTTACCGCCAGCCGGCTTGTTCCACGGCCTCATGGCTGTGCCATTGGCGAGCGTAATGAGGCTCGGCCGAAAGCAGCCACAGAGCAAGTGGGCAGATTCACCCCTCACCTGCCCAGCCTGTTCCCTTTTACTTCCAAGCCAGACTGCTGGCACTTTTGGTCACCTGGCCCTCTTCACAGCTCTGCCCACAGAACCACCAAAGTGGCAGGTGGGAGCACCGGAGGCTCGGGGAGGGAGGGTGCTGAAGTGAGCAGGTGTCCTGCCATCAGCGCCCATGCTGGATGGCCCTTCCCGTGGAGCTGGAGAGCTTGCCACACCACTGCCCAGATGCCCTCACTTCCCCCAGGAATTGCATGTCTTTGCTTACCTGACTTCCAGCCCTGTCCCATTTCTCCTTCACGCTCCTCTACTGCTGCATGCAGGGAAACAAAAGAAGTTTGTGAGGAAATAAAAAGGTTAATCAATCAATTCCAACTTCACAAGATCTATTTTTTTTGTGAGAAGTTGGAATTGATTGACCTTCCCCCCCCTAAACTTCTTTTGTTTCCCTGTACGTGGCAGCAGAGGAGCATGAAGGAGAAACAAGACGGGGTGTACTCGCAGCCTGCTGGTATCGGTAAAAAGTAAGCACTACTCAAAAGTAAGTCCTAGTGCTTACTTCAGAGCCCAAAAGAAACAAACACCAGGTCTTACTTTCGGGGAAACACAATATTATAGGATCTCTAATTCTTCCATTCTCAGAAAATCATATCCATCTTCAATTTATTAGTTTATTAATTCATTCAAGACAACTGCCACTTTCACTAATTTATATGCATATCTATCATTAGAAAAGTTAAGTGGTATACAAGTAATATATTGGCAGATGGTGTTTATATGACCATTTTATGTGCATGAAATACATGCGCCTTTTTAGGTGAAGCACTCACAGTCTTAATATATGGCTATTTAAAAGTATATCTGAATTACCCTATTAATCTATTTATTTCGCTATTTTACCTTCAGATTATCTGGTAGTTCAGAGCGACCTGCATAACCTGGATTCATAGTAATAGCAACAAAACAATTGGGATTAAGCCTCAGTTCAGTTCCTTCAAAATTAAATATCTCCAGCTTCTGTTGTATAGCTCTCTGGATGCAAAGAATCTGCTGGGCTACCACAGACAGTACCTCCAGTTCAATGCGATTGAATTCATCAAAGCAGGCCCAAGCTCCCGAAGAAGCTAAACCCTTAAAAAACTAAAGACAAAACAACAGACACAGCAATAATATATAATTTAACATACTGACATCATTTAACCTTCTGAATCAGAACTAACACACCAATAAAGGAGAATATTTGTAGCTCAGGGTTGAAATGAGGGATCCTTGGTACTCTCAAAGTTTGGTTGTTTTCTTGCAGATGTTTCATTACCCAAACTAGATAACATCATCAGTGTTAGTAAGGAGTGAGGTTTGCTCTCAGTTTATATTTCAGAGGCTTGCCCTGGGTTGGTCTTAGACGTTCTTTGGATGGCTGTTTGCCTTTGGCTTGTTTGGCAGTTCCTTAATTGAGGTATTGTCTACTTGATTGTTGGTCTGATGTTAATCTTGGAGTCAGTTAATGAACTTATTAACTCAATTAACAATTAATTCCAAGACATGTTCCCTATTAACCCCTAACACATGTTCACTTCTATATTAATTAAATTTAGTTTCATTAGGGAAACAACAACATTATATTAGGGGAAGAAATGATATTGAAAAGCATCTGTAAAATTATTATTTGTAATTTTACATGAAGAAAAATGAAGGAGTAATCCTTAGCGAAGAGTAGTAGCTTGAAAAAGGCCCCAAAATTAGAACAGCACTGTACATTTTTCTTAACAAGTAGCAGGGGGAGCAACTCCGCCCCTTTAGTATTTTCATCATGGTATCACACCACAAGCGTGTATAGGGAAAGCTTGTGCAGCAATGTCAGAATGCATATTTCATCATTTGAACGGGCCATTGCTATAGATACTCATGGGAAGCTGGGTCCATTTCCACAACTCATTAACCTAGAATGTGTATTATATTAAGCACAACCAGACAGTTTGATTAGTTCATGATTCAGTGAGTAAATAATGTTATTGTTAACCATGGGATAGCACATTATGTGAATACAATATATTGTCTTCCTTTACTTGTTTTTCAAGCCTTAATTGCACTTATTTATCCTAACCAAGCTTTATGATACTGTATCAGTTGTGAAACTGATTAAATCAGTTCAGGCTAAACTTTTTTATATTTAATGATTGGGTATATGAATATTAGAACTGTGAAAAACTATTAAACTTGCCTTTTGGGCTGAATCCAAGCTCCTTGAATAACCCATCCTATCAAGGCCAGGCATAATTCATGCTACCTTGTTACTAGTTCAGGAGCTTGTTTACCCCCCCCCCCCAAAAA